TGCAAACGTGTCACGACTTGAGGGCGTCTCCTTTTCAAAATGTGACTCTCGCCTGAGCGCCGCTCACAGTCTTGGGAAATTCCAAGAATTCTATGGGTTCCCACGGTGAACGTATTGAAAATTCTGTTTCGAAGCGACTTAGGATTGTCAGGGCACAACATGTACGTTGACTCGCGGTGTAATTCCCAGGAATGGTGTTCTGACATCATGCGGCAGCGTCAAGACGCGACACTCAAGTTCGTTCGTGGCGTTGCAGTTCCGAGAACGATGATTTGGCACGCTTCAGGATCTTCCAACGGTTGCCTCCCACCGTGGCATTTCCCTGAGTGGAAATGAACCCTTGTCTGAGGCCTATGAAGAGGGAGTTTGGAGAGAGGGAATACTCCAATGTCGTTGATGAGTCTTAGGTTTACACTGGTCCTCCTCATCCTCATAATCATCATCGTCATCATCAGCAGCAGCATCATCCTCCTCCTCTTCCTTCTCCTCCTCCTCCTCCTCCTCCTCCTCCTCCTCCTCCTCCTCCTCCTGCTCCTCCCTCCTTCTCGGCCACCCTCCCTGCTTCCATCTGGCTCCTGCTTCTAGCTTACCCATCCCTTCTCTTCTGACGCCATCCCGCCTGCCTCCTCCCGCTGCGCCTCCGCCTCCACATCCTCCATAAATGCCGTCGCACTCCCTCTTCTGGCAAAGCTGCGCCTAATTACCTTCACCTTCTCCCACAGGTGCGCCCAATTACCACCCGATCCTGCTCGTTCTGCCGCTGCCGCGGCCGAGACTGCCGAGGGCTGTCGATGCTGATGTTCGGCGGGCGCCCCGCCTCTCCAGAGGCTCTGGCGACCCGCGGCATACCTCCGGCACCGGAGGCGGCAAGCCACGGGGGAGGGGGGCGACGAGGCCGCAACAACAGCAGCAAGCAACATCGCCTCCGACTACTTCGCAACCTCATTCTCTCCGCTCGCCTACTCATTCCTGCTTATCCTACTTTTGTCCTTTTCTTTCTTTCCTCACGCCTTCCTCTTGCTCCTGTCTGCACCATCCCTTTCGTCCTGCCGTCTACTGCCTCCTCCCGCCTCCTCCTACTTCCTGTGCCCCCTCTGCCTCCTACCCTGCCATCAAGCACTGCATGGGCGCCACCAAAGCGAGTCTCTGGAACCGACGAGGTTGACCGCGATAGTCATGACGGCAACTAACGATGGCCATGACCGCCAGCGGGCATGCACAGCCTCCTCCTCCCGCTCCTCCTCCTCTTCCACCTCCTCCTCCTACTCCTCATCCTCCTCATCCTCCTCGTCCTCCTCCTCCTCGTTTCTCTCCTCTTCGTCGTTGTCCTCCTCCGAGGCGACACATCTGCACACGCACTGGCAGAAAGAGGCAATGCCGAGGGCCAAGGCAGCGACGAGCATGGGGGCCTGCAACTCCCTAATCCCCCGCCCCGCCCCCCCACCGCGGCAGAGACCAGGAGGACTGACGATAGGCAACCACACGTGAGCCCTAACCCTGCAGGTCAGGCTTCAGAAAAAAACAAGTTGGGGATTCAGAAGCTGAAGGAGATCTGCAGCCAAGCGAACCCTAGCGGGGGCGTCCGATCCCCCAGCGTCGACTGGACCCGAAGGCATAGGACTCGCAGGTTGTCGCAGAGACGAGGAGGAGGAGGAGGAAGAGGAAGAGGACCAGTGTAACCCCAAGAGTCATCAACGATGTTGGCATAAAGCCTCCCTCCAAGCTCCCTCTTCAGAGGCCCCTACAATGGCTCATTTCCACTGAGGGGACTGCCTCGTTGGAAGACAGTCGTTTGAAGACCCTAAAGCATGCCAAAGCATTGTTCTCGAGATTCCAACGTCACGGATCAACCTGACTGTTGCGTCTTGACTGTCCTAAACCATGCCAAAACGCCAGTCCTGGGACTCAACACCGCGAATCAACGTAACCGTTGCACCCTCATAGTCCTGAATCTTTCCTAAACCCCATTTCTGGTACGTTGACCATGGGACTCCGTGAAACTCTTGCAACTGTTGAAAAAGAATACGCGCGGCGCTAAGGCGAGAGCCACATGTTGAAAAGGAACCACCCTCCATCCATGAAACTCTTACAAATGTTTGAAGCGAATGCGCGCGGCGCTAAGGCGAGAGCCACATTTTGAAAACGACCCGCCCTCAACGCGTGAAACTCTTGATTATGTTTAAAACGAACGCGCGCGGCGCTAAAGCGAGAGCCGCAGTTTAAAAAAGGGCCCGCACCCCATTTGTGAAACTCTTGCCAACGTTTATAAGCTTCAGGGCCAGAAGTGGTGAAGAAACCTCAGGCGAAACGCCCGGCCCGCCAATTCGACTGGCCTCGGGGTGCGAAAGGGAGAAGTTATTCATAAGGAAGAGGAATGGAGAAGAAGGAGGAGGAGAAGGAGGAGGAGGAGGAAGAGGAAAGAGGAGGAGGAGGAGCGAGGACGACGACGACGACTACGACGACGACGATGGGGCAGAGGAGGGGGGAAAGGAGGGCGCGGAATAGAGAAGCACGCAGAATGCTGGATGCGCGCTTCCGCGCGGTCAGCGGCGGGCTAAGGCCCCACAGATGAAAAGGGGCAGCGCGGGCGGGCCGGGGCCCTTTCTGAAATGTGCGTGGGGCGAGGAAATCGTGCTCCATGCTATTGAGGATGACGAGGAGGGGGAGGAGGAGGAGGAGGAGGAGGAGGAGGAGGAGGAGGAGGAGGAAGAGAACGTGGCGGATGCAGGCGAGAGGATGCACGACGACGAGGAGGGCAACAATGACGACGACGACGACGAAGGCGAGGAGAGCGGCTCGAGCTAAGAGCAAAGAAACGGAAAACTGCATAAGCATAAACCGTCGGGGCTCCGCGCAGAGTTCTGCAAGTTTATGTGTATGCCGATCTTAACTGTTCGAATTTATCCCGCGGTGAGAGGTAGCGAGCAGGTGTCCTGCCAGCTTGGACGGCAAGCCCAGCAGCGGCTTCTACGGCAGGTTCGTGTCGTGACGACCCAGTCTGGCACCGCAAGGATCGCTCAACCTTGATCGATCAGCGACATAAGAGGCAGTCGAGGAAGCTGGCGGCATCGCAGTGATAGAGGAAGAAGAACTGCATACACGCACAAGATTTCGGAGCTCAGCGCGGATTCCTCAGATCGGCGCTGGAGCCCCCTGGCGGGGCCTCTCGCGCGCACTCCGCGCGCCAGGGAGAGCGGTCCAGGCGGAGCTCCGAGGAGTTTATGTTACGCAGTTCTTCGACGTCACACCACGGCGATTGACAGCGAGCAGTGTCCAGCCTTCAGGCTGATCCGCTCCTTGAACGCATACCCGCACAGGGCTGCGCGCACGGCGAGGATCCCGTCCCCCGACAGGAAGATGTGTTGCCTGTAGTCCCCCATGAGCTTGTCCCTCTGCTGCGGCGCGCGCCGCTGTTAGCGGCGCCTGTCCGCGAAGCGCAGCACATCTGCGGCAGCCCGGGCTTAGCGCTGCTGCGTCAGCGGCTGCGCGCGGCGCCTGGCGTAGAAGTCCTCGCGGGCCACGTCGCTGCGATCGGCTCGCTGCTGGCCCGCCGTGACCCGAGGGCGGCGCGGCCGCGAGCTGGCCACTGGTGGCACAGCTGGCCTGCTCGAAGCGGCGCCTGCAGTCGCGCCCGGCAGCCTGCGCCTGCGCGACGCTGCTGCCCCAGTCAAGCTGGTCTGGCCTCCTCCCCTGGTGGCCAGCGGGCGGACAGACGGGGACTGGCGCCCGCTCCAAGTCGGGGCACATGGCGGCGCCTGCCAGACGAGCCCCCCCCCCCATGGAGGAGTCCTGCCGAGGGCGCGCACGCGAGCTAGATGCCAGCCCACTTTCGCGCCAGCGCCTGCGGATACCAACCTGCGAGACGAGTTTTCCAGACTGTGCCCTGTCCAGGGCCAAGCCGCACCAGGCCCTCAAGGACCTCGCGAACGTGGTCACAGGAGCTGCTGGACCCCAGGGCCTGGAGAGGCCTCAGGTCGGTAACAGGCGCGGTGGGCTTCAGGTAGCGGCATATTGTAGTAGTGGCGAGAGTGCATGGTGATGACGCAATGTCGATGACGGGTTTAAAAAAAAGCCGTGACTTCAGGGCAAGTCCAAGGACAGGATGACGTGGGGTTCTCGATTGACCATCTTACTACGTACCGAACTCAGAAGCGAAGTATGTTGATCGTGAACTTGACAGAGCCACTGGCAGACACAAAATGCTTGCCCTGGCTACGCGCCGGAGTGGCCTGGCTGACGGGTGCACACGGCGTGCCGAGATGGACATGCAACACCCCACGGCGGAAGATCAGAGAGCGGATCTCTCGGACGACGCTCGGGTTGGCCAGATCGCGCCACGGCCCCCGCGAGATGTCGACTGGGACCCAGTTCTGGGGACACTCGTCGGGGCAGGCGGCCGCGAGGCGGGCGCAGCCGGCATAGAGCTCCAGCACGTGCCGCTGCTGGCGACCGCCGCGGGGCTGAGCTGCGAGGCGACGCGGCCCTGCCGCGCCGGTCGTCGGCGTCAGTCGCGGGTCCAGCACACCTCCGCACATATTCATGTCAGTCGCGGTCGACATCTGCGGGTCGAACACTCCTCCGCGCTCGTTGATATCAGTCGCGGTCGACGACTGTCGTGGGTCCACCACTCCTCCGCGCTTGTGTATATCAGTCGCGGTCAACGACTGGCGGGGATCGGCTGAGCCGGCTGGCAGGTCGCGGGCGGCTCCTCGCTGCGTCTGGCCTGGCGCCAGCTCGAGACGGCCCACCGCACTAATGTCGCAGTCGGACGGGTTCCGTTTGCTCTCGGAGTATCGGCGGTAGTGCTGGATGCCAGTAGCGAGCTGTCGAGCCGCCGACTGGCGCGCTAGCTGCCGTGGGACCGGGCTGGCACACCTGCCCTTCTCAAAAGCCATCATCGATGAAAGGTCGCCGCCTATAGACGGGACGCGGCACCCATGGGCAGCCACCGACCGACTGGCCCGCCTGAGGCCCAGCAAGGTCGCCCGACCCTCGAGGACGTGGACGGGCGCCGCGAAGAGAAAGGCGCCGCGGACGACCAGCTGCCACCGATGCGCGGCGAGGGCCGAATCGGGAAGGGCCAGAATACCGCCGCGGCAAGCCGCGGCCGCGATGGCCCCGTAGTCAATCCCCCCAACGCGTCGGCGCCGCTCGGTGCCACGCCCAAGAGGCGGTTGGCCCAGTCCCGCGAAAGCGGCGTCGTCGTCGCCGGCCGCGGAGAGGCTGACCCGCACGGCGACCTCGGTGCCCAGGGGGTCGCCTGGGCCGTTGGATTACCGGTCGAGGGCGAGGAAGCGCCTACGCTCTCGGTAGGCCCCGCCCGATGCCCCGCAGCTCGTTGGCGTTGAAGTGCGACGTGGCCACAGCGTAGCCCCACATGCTGGCGTCGGAGAAGCACGCCCACGGGCGCCAGCTAGCGCCGAGGCCAATCCCGGCGAGGGGGATCAGAGCCTTCACGAGGGCCAGCTCGCGCAGCTGCTCGATGCTGAACTCGCAGCACGCGCCCGATGAGTACACGACCCCGCACAGAGGGGTTCAGGACAGACAGAGCGGGCCTCATGAGTCATGAGCACGAAGTGGTGCACGACGTGGCCGAGCAACACATCCACGGCCGATGGCGCGCTGCCGCGGCAGTCTGTCAAGGCAGTGACAGCCCCGCGAAGCCGCCAGGCGCGCTCGCGCTGAGGCACCACCCGACCCCGGACGAAGTCGAAGCGCACGCCACAACAAACAAAGTCCTGCGTCGCATAGAAGACCTCGTGGAACTATAGGCCGCGCCTCTCGAACTCGCACAGAATAGCCTTCAGCGCTGCATCAACAAAGCTGCGAGGCGACCCTGCCAAGTTCGAGTCGTTGACATGAGAAGAGCCAGCCAGCTCGCCCGCGCCATGACGGGCGCAGGGAGCTCGCTCAGAAACGATCCGGACGTCGTCGGGCGAGATGGACAGCACCTGGGCGATGCCGACGCGCGCGACGTCCTCTGTGCTGGAAGCACGGGCACGCGCTGATGTCAGGGTCCACCTTGACGTACCTCTGGCCCACCTCGTCGTAGATGCAGTCCGTGTCGAACTGGTTGATGGCCACTGGGTAGTCGAAGTAGAATCAGTTGGTAACCTCGAGCCACTGTATCCGGTAGAAGCCCTGCCGAAGGTCAGCGCCTGCGCGGCGGCGCCCGGAGTCGCCCTCGCGCAGGAGGTCGGCGCCACGGCAGAGGCCGCTGAGCGCAGCGGCCGAGCCAGGCTCGGTCTGAGGGGGGGCGCCGCTGCATGGCCGAAGGACCCCTGCCGTCGATGACCACGCGCAGGGTGCGGTCACTTTTACCGACAAAGAAGATGCCGGCGCGGGCGCGGCATCGGGCGCGCACGCCCACGAGGCCGACGCGCATGAGCTGCTTGAAAAGGTTGGGCCGCAGGGTCGGGTCGCGCCGCAGGTTGAGATCCTAGAAGGGGCGCGCCGACGGCAGCTCGCCCGCCTCGACCACGCCGCCCAGCACCGCCTGCGAGCAGGCGAACTTCTCGGGATGGTCGATCAGCGGCAGCAGCGACGCGGGCACCAGAGAGCGGACGGGCAGCGGTCGGATGCCGCCGTCGAGAACGCGGAGAAGGTGGGCCTCGTAAGACCGAACAGGCGACGGCCGAGCACTGTAGATATCTTTCGACTTCAAGATAGAGCGAAACGCGCCATCACCGCCCATGCCGAGGTGCTCGCCGAAGGCAGCCACTCGCTGATGAACACGCTGGAGCCCTGATGCTTGGGCGGCGCTCGCCGGGAGCCGAGGCGAGGCGTCGCGCAGCCGCCGGCGGAGCGCCCAGGTCGTTCAGAACCACGATGGCCTGGCCGCACCGCCGACGCACGCCGCGCGAGAGCGAAGGGGCCGCACTCGTCGGCGCCGACCTGCTGAGATGCGGCAGGGGAATGGGATCGCCGCGAGCGCGACCTGTCAAAAATCGAGGAGCCCCCACGGCAGTCCAGCCTCCCGCGCGCCCCCCTGAGAAGCGGACTGCGGAGGGACCCAGGGCAGAGCGACGCCGGCGCGCGCGCCGCCTCTCCGAAGCCCGGCTAGCAGGAGCCATTAGACGTCGGCGGCCGGGGGGCCACCCCGACCGCCGCGCCCACGCCCGTCGCCCCGATCGCGCCCGCGGCCCTTGCCCCGACCGAAGCCAGAGCCTCCACCACTGCCGTCACTGTCGACGGAGGAGGCGGAGCCGCGGCCTTGGGCGCGGGTGGACTGCTCCTCGCGCAATTGCCGCTGCTGCTTCAGGGTGAAGGCTTCGCCCCCCTGGATCTGCCGCTGCTGCTTCAGGGCGATGTGCTTGGCGCACTCGGGGAGGGCGAGGCCGCCAAACTCGTCGGCGGTCGAGGCGACCACAGCGTCGAAGTCCTGAAAGTCGGGGCTCCGAAGATTGCGAGCGACTGCCATCTCAATCTGCACTAGGTAGCGTAGCAAAATCTCGACACCGACGAGGGTGGGCAGGTTCATCATGGCCTGGAGGGCCTCGGTGAGCCGCCGATGGGAGCGAGTGATGTTGCTGTTGGGCGAGATGCTCGACTTGTGAACGAAGTCCAGGTGGTGGCTCACCCGCCCCATCTCCGTGGTGCGCACGGCTCGCATGAACTCGAGGGCGACGCGCTGGCCGCCGATGGGGGAAAGGTGGGTCGACTGAAACGTGCTGCAATCCTAGGGGCCCCGAGAAAGGCATGAAACGCCCCTTGTTGACGGGGTGCCGGAGATCGCCGGCGACCCACGGGTCGCGCTTGTGGCCCGACACCAGAGCACGCTCCCAGGAGTCTTTGGTCCTGAGCGGGCACGAGCTGGCAAAAGGTCTAGCAGTCGGCGATCAGCACGAGCGCCGAGAGGAAGTCCACGTCGCCAGCCTGGCCGGGCTGGAGGAAAGAGTTCGCGACGGAACCTCGTCTCCGAAGCTGCGAGTGGACGGGTCGGCGGCTCGCC